CACAGCAATAGTACATTCATGTAGTTGTAAACAGCATGATAATATATTAAGTAATCCAAAGTATTCAGAATACGTTACTCTCATTGAGTAACGTAACAGAATACGTTACAGAATACATTTTGGGACATGTATTCTGTAATCTATAGTGGAAAACATTTTAAAAGTAACCTTCCCAACACTGGAAGAGGCAGATGGAGTTTGTGTCTCACTCATGTAGTGACTGTTGTTGTTAAACAGACACCATGACAGAGATCATAAAGGTCTCCTGATGTTAGAAATGAGAGCAAAGGCAGGAGCTGTGTGGACTGTGTGTAGAAGATTAATATAAAGATAATGAAGGCTACAATTTGATACCAGCACACTACAGTGTATCTAGCAAATACTTTGCCTCTCGCCCTATTGTAGCATGGATAGATGGATGAAAATACTGTAATTAGTCCTGTATGTAATACAGTGGAGCTGAGCTTTGTCACATTTTCAGAATTCAACATCTTCCCATCCTCAGTAGTGTGTACTGCTGACTGAAATTCAGGTATCTACAAACAAGTATGAAACTCCAAACTTACTGTACTTGTTACCAGAGATGGGCAGTAACGCGTTACTTGTAATAAAAAAAATATATTTTATGTGCTGGAATGTGCAGAAAATAGGTTTAAATATTAAACTAATTTCTCCCAGTCAGAGAATGTTGCATATAATTAAATTTTTGCTTGATGCATAAAGTTAAAAGGTTAAAACTAATAAAACAAGTTTTAAAAAGAGACTTTTCCATTTGATTACATTTTGTATGATGGATTATGTAGAAAAAGTAGAATTGGGCTGAAAGCTCTCACTTTATAACCTATTCAGGTTGTAAATCGTGTTTTTAAAAAGTAACTAAGTAACTAAGTAATTAATTACTTTTAAAAATAAGTAATCAGTAAAGTAACAGGATTACTTTTGGGGGGAAGTAATCAGTAATTAGTTACTGATTACTTTTTTCAAATAACTTGACCAACACTGCTTGTTACTGAAAAACAGGAGAGCTACTATCAGGAGTCACAGCTCAACCTTAATGAAAAAAGAGACAGGGAGGAGAGGAGGCAGATTTTCACAGTAAGAGGAAGTAAAAAGACAAAAAGGAAAATAGAAGCATTCCTTCTTAAAGCAAGAGTCACGTTCATTGAACAACGAATGCAA